CAACAGGTGTAAATTACTTTCTGAGTCGAACGGCTTTGTAGGGGTTGGGGCGCTGCTCGTCTGCGTCAGCATCGACCTGCATCAGCCACTCGGGGAAAGCAGAGAGGCCCAGGCGGAGGTGCCGGGCCTCCAGTGTCTCTGCGTCTTCTTCAGCTCCTCGACTCGTCAGCTGCTGCCTGCAGCAGCAGCAGCAGCAGCAGCAGCAGCACACGAATGCAACAAGGTGCAGCAGCAGCAGCAGCAACTGCTGCAGCAGCTACTGCAGCAGAAACACTCCACCCCACGCACCCAAGACACAGAAAAAAAACACGACACAGCTGTCAGAACTCCAGCAGCAGCACAGCCAGCAGCAATGGCAGCTGCAGCACAAGTTGCTGCAGCAGAAGACGTGCAGCAAGTGCTGCTGCAGCAGAAGCTGCAGCAGAAGCTGCAGCAGCAGCAGCAGAACGTACGAGCTTGTTGTCAGTCGGCTGCTGCTGAGGTCGTCAGCTCCAGAGTCATCGTCCGTCGTGATGCACACGCCTGTTGCTGCTCTAGCTGCTGCATCTGCTGCTGCTGCTTCTGATGCAGCAGCAGCAGCTGCTGCTGCTGCTGTAGAGTCTCGCCCGGTCCCCAGTGCTGCTGCCATCTCCTCCCCCCCAACTGCAGCCGGAAACTGCTCCTCAGGTGCTATTTCCACTGATTCTGCTTCCGCTGCTTCTGCTGCTGCTGGTGCTTCTGCTGCTGCTGCTTCTGCTTCTGCTGCTTCTGCTGCAGCTGCTTCTGCTGCTGTTGCTGCTTCTGCTGCTGCTGCTTCTGCTGCTGCTGCCTCCACTTCCGCTTCGTGTGTTGCTTCAGTCACCTCATCTGGCAAAAACTCCTCAGCAGCAGGCGTCTCCAGTTCTTCTCGCGCTGTTTCTGCTGCTGCTGCTGCTGCTTCTGCTTCTGCTGCTGCTGCTGCTGCTGCTGTTGCTGCTGCTGCTGCTGACAATGCGTCTCCAACACCAGTATCCTCGGTGTCAGAACCTTCACCGTACGCTGTCTCTGCTGCTGCTGTTTCCTCTGCTCGTG